CTGAATTTGCTCTCTTATGGGCACAGGTGATCGAAATCAGCTCTTGGTGTCCTTGTATGCCAGCGAGGTTGCGATTAGTACAGATTTGCAAGACTGTATGTTGCTGATGGGAAGATTGCTTTGTGTGAGTTCTACACCTGAAAGTCCATCTGGCAGAATTGAGAGCAGAGTGAGCAATTCCCTAGCTCCAGGGGTGATGCGCGGGCTGGAATAGGATAGTGCAATTGATACATCCAAATTTGAGGTCCTATGATCACCAATAGACAGAGCAGCAGTCTTTTCGATCTTCCAACGAGCCAGCACATTGGCAAGACCTTCATAATCCACCAAATGGGCCATGAGATTAACTGCCAAGGGCATATTCTCTGTAAATGCCAGTAGCTGAGTCTTCTCCTTACTAACATGCAAATCATCGGTTATCTCTTCAAATATTTGCTGAGAAGCATGGTCTGACAATGGTTGCAGAGGCTGCAAAAAATGGCCGCGTCCAGCGAACCTGGCCTGGTCGTTCTGAACCCCTCATAGTGATCTGTGGTCTGTTCAATACCTGAACATAATGAAATTGAAGAGAGCTTACCATGAGGGCAAGATGTGTTACATCAGTAAGAAGGGAAAGAAAATCTTCCACTCCACCACGTGAGTGTATGGGCTCCCAGGGTGTTTCCAAATTGTCAAGAACTAGGAAACAAGGGGTTGACTGCTGGGCAAAGTATTGAACCACAGGTTTGGTAAGGTTGTGGCCTGGTTCCAATCCTAGATGCAGACCAATCAGGGCGGCCAGTTCTACAGTTGTGGTTGCTGCCTCTGCGCTAACAAAGAACCTGTGCTCAAATTTGGTACATGTATCTTTGTGATGGAGAGCAACCCTTGCAAGGGATGTCTTGCCCATACCCCCTCCCCCCAGGATAGCTATCCTGGGTGCATCCTGGGACAGCATGGACATAATGTCCTTCAATTCAGGGTCTCGACCGTGGAAAATTCTGGGTTTTGAGGGCAACATGGAGAATGAGTTGGAGCTTCACAGATGTCAACGGAAGGAAGTCTTCACAGGAGAACCATTGTACCTAGTGTGTAACCCGTCCTCCGCTTTGTAAAGCACCTAGTTTGGGATTAAACTCATGCCTATGCATTAACAAATAAAATTCCCACTGATAGGGACTTATCGGAGACTGTCCCATCGGAGAGTGTTGCAACAAGTTCAAGTAATTCCCTGTGCATGGCCTCTGCCTCATGTTGCACCTGGATTACATTGTTCAACACTGTAAACTCTGTCTGAACCTGAATTGTGGTGTTAGAAATTTATGCCACAACAATAGGTTAACACACCTTGAAGATCTCAATGGCCTGATCCACTCCAGCCTGACATTCCTTGAGGAGTCTATTGACTTCACTCTGGCGAAAGAACTGTTTGATCTTGTTGCCATCCTGCTAAATCTCAATAAATGTGTATATCCGGTGCAGGGTCCTAGGGAGGAATCATCTCAGGGTAAGACACCTGCTGTACTAGTGTACACTCAACATACTCTGTAAACTGTGCAATTTGGTCAAGAACTGCTAGGGGCAGGGACCTGCCAGTTTGGGACTTCAAATGAAGATGGATAATTGGATAGAGCACTTGAGGGATGCTTTCCAGCAGCCGAAAGCACTTATCCTTGTTTCTCTTCACATTCTATGTTCCTTATTCAGCCCCTATGATTCATGTTTTCCTTGGGAACATACCTGGACCCCAGCAATCAGAGCCTGAACAGTCTTGACAATTGGCTGGATGAATGGCAGTTCAAATACATCATTGAGCTCCCCAAGCAAGGTCAATGCAGGTGTGAGCCAGGTGGTGAGGTTGTGGATGCGACCTTGGGTGGCAGGATCATGGTGAGACATCTCGGATAAAGGTTGGCACCAGCTTACACCTCGGGCTTGTATAGGGTATCCGAGGCAGTAGCGCGTTGATAGCAAATATCCCAATATGGCCTGATGACAAGTCCTAAAGATGAAGTTTTTAGAATTGTCTTTCTGGTGAAGATTAACACCAAAAGATCTTAGCACCGTCATGATATCATTGACCTTGGGAGTAACGTCTCAACCTAATAATAACGGCTTGGGGCCCAGGCACTTCTAAGATGAGCTTTCTGTGTCACTTCGGTGCGGTTTCTGGGTCGTCAACATGTTTTGCCTCGGAAACATTCTGTGGCTGGTTTTGTTAAATTGTTGGCCGTTCCGTCTCCCCGTTTTTGTGTTGTGTACTGTAGTCATTTTTTATTATTAACATGCCGGGGTGCTGAGCTGGGCCGGATTGCCCATTGATGCCGATTCCGTCGGCTAGGCGTAGCGGTGGTCTTCTGTGTAATGCTGACACACCTATCAGCGCATTTTGGGCAACCAAAAAATGAACCTTCTAGGGTTGTTTAACCCAAAGGGAATAAACAATCTTAGAAGGGCCAAAACTACTAGTGGACCTTGGGTGGGGCTCCCAAATGGGACCTCTTCTAGGATGTTCGATCCCACTCACCGCCCTCCCTGTGCCCTCGTGATTTGTCAGTACCGCTGTCTCCGGTACTACTTACGGTAACTGTCCGCATCCGCCGCTCTCGGAAAGGCAATTTGTAAGTATGGGTGGCTGACTGATGTCCACATCTCCTTTGTGGCTCTGATCTTCCAAACGCGACCGTGAGCTCGGCTAAGGGGATGTGAAGAGGCCCAGGGACGATGGTGTAATTAGTGCCTACACCGGGATACTTCCTGGAAACCGGTGTTCATGAGTTGGACCGTGCCGTGTAACCCTACCTGCCTACCTACCAAGAGTCTGTTTACTGTACGTTCAAGTGACAGATGACAGAGGGTCGTGAAGTGAACAGATTTGGTGTAGATGATGGTGACATTCGATTTTTTTGGGGTGAAATAGGGTACAAAAGGGTCAAAAGCTCACTTACGGGCCATCTGTTTATGGTAATTTGATGTGATTTCCGAGGAATAAACACAGAGTGCATTGAAAGCCTGTGTTGACGAATGGCATGGCATGAAGGTTTGGTCGAAATAGTAGAGTATTTGTTCAAGGTCTCCACATAAAACTCTTCAAGTACGAACACGGGTCTGCGGTCAATCTTATTCTTTGAACTTGGTCAAGAGAATCTGATTTCTGATCTGCTCGAAACTCCACACGCCTTCTATCTACGCCTCTGTCAAGACGGACAACAAATACGCGAGCAAATACTGTAGGGAGCAAACTTTCAGTGTTGTGGCCGGTGCAAGACTAACGCGGGCCTTGAATATTCGGACGCAGGAATCAACATCTGATCTCAGGAGCTGGAGGTGAGTGCATTTACGATATACCATGTTCGAGGTTTCCACACTGCAGACCTGAACAGATGAGCACACTTTTGGGTTGTATGCAAGAAAAAGAAATTGACCACCGCGGTCGGTCGGCTTGTTCGGATGCGGGAGTCGAACCCCGTATTCCCCCTTCAATCGCTGAGGATCCCCAAGAGGAAGGGTGTGCAGCATTGACCACGTCCGAGCCGATCTGCATCCTGTGAACTTGAACGTGTGGGCAATTTTTCAGAAGCAGATCGACAACAACCTACAATATTCGGGCCAATATTCGGCCACGGCGCAAGGAACTCCTCTGCGACTGTGGCCCGCACACACGAATTCAATCCTCTCTCTCTCCACCTGAGAGCAATAAATTTTCAGCGTCGCGTAAAAAGGTCAAGTTCACTAATGTCAACACATTCGGACGCGGGGAATCGAACCTCGTACTCCTTCGAGGATTTTGTTATAAGAGCTAGAAAGAGAAGGTGTGTGCCATACACCACGTCTGAGTTTCTCTCTCCCCTGTGAACTTGAATAAATAACTGAATTTCCGGACTCGCCGAGACAAGAAAAAATGGTGATCACCTCAACCTATGACGTGGGGAATCGAACGCCGTACTTCTTTTTGTATCCAAGAAAGAATTGAAGCGACAGAAGGTGTGTACCTTACACCGCATCCCAGTCACTATTTCCTTGCAAGCTTAAATATGTGAGGGAGTTTCAGCATTGTGGGGAAAAAAAATGTAGAGCCACTACGATATTCGGATACAGCGAATCGGGCCCCCGCACTCCTTCGAGCATATGTGATCAACGATCGGCGACGGAAGGCGTGTACCGTACACCACATCCAAGTTATTATTCACCCTGTGAACTTGAGTGGGTGAGCAATTTTCGGTGTTGGGTTCAAGAAAAGAATCCATAACCACCGTTGATGTATTTGGATGCGGGGAATCGAACCCCGTACTCCTTCTCGCATCTGTGATCAATAATCAGCGACGGAAGGCATGTACCGTACACTACATCCGAGTTACTTTCCCTGCTATATACGTGAATGGATGAGCAAATTTCTGGGCTAAAAAATAGGATGGCACGATCGTATTCGGACACATCCGAGTTGATCTTCTGCCTGGAGGGTGATTTTTCGGCTGCTGCTGCAAGAAGAAAAGACTCGTCCGTATTCACTGATTCGGATGCCGGGAGTCGAACCCCGCGCCTCTTCTGGCAGAACAGGAGCTCAGAGCGACGGAAGGCGTGTGCAGTACACCACATCCGAGTTTTTCTCCCTCCTGTGAACCTCAACAGATGAGTGATTTTTTGCGTTGCGTCCAAGAAGAAGAAAGAAATCGTAACTGGAGTGGCATATTAGGACACGGGGAGTCGAACCCCGTATTCCTTCTGAAATCTACAAAGGGAGTCAAGCAGTGACAGAAGATGTGTTCCGTACACCATGCCCGATTTCCACCATCGCTGTAAATGGAGTGGAGAGTGAATCCCGGCGTTGGGCCAAGAAAAATCTGTCCAGCTGGCAGTTGAATTTCGGACGCGGGGAATCGAACCCCGTACTCCTTTTTGCACCCAAGAAACAATTGAAGCGACAGAAGGTGTGTGCCGTGCACTGCATCCGAGTTACTCTCCCTGAAGACCTGAATATTTCTTTGGCCTCGGATGGAAGGAAAAAACTCACGACGCAGATATTCGGACGCGGGGAGTCGAACCCCGTCCTCCTTCTCGCCCCCGCGATAAACAATGAGCACGAAAGGCGTGTACCGTACACCACACCCGAGGCATTCCTGTTCCCGAGAACCTCAGCACATGAGCGATTTTCGGTGTTGGGGGCAAGAAATGATACCCAACACATGGCCGCTGATCGACGCGGGGAGTCGAACCCCGCACTCCTTCAGCCAACGTACATGATGTTCGGGGGTAGCGAGAGAAGGTGTGTGCCGTGCACCACATCCGAGTTATTCTTCTTCCTGTGAGCTTGAATAGATGAGCAAATTCCGCAAATTTCAGAGTCAAGTGCAAGAAAAATAATTCCACAGCCTCAATATTCCCATTCGGACACGGGGAATTGAACCCTGTACTCCTTCGGCCACAATGTACGATGTAGCGACAGTGAGAGAAGGTGTGCGCCGTACGCTACATCCAAGTTACTCCTCATCCTGCAAACTCAAATAGGTGAGTCAGTTTCCGACCTGGGCTGGACTGCCGCCGCTGGAGGGAAAAAATTCACCGACCTTGTTATTCTGACACAGGGAATCGAACCCCGTACTCCCTTCCACCACATGGAACAGCGAGTGAGTTTCTTTTGACATCGGGTGGAAGAAAAGGCATTCGCTGCGCGTGGGAGAATTCGGACACGGGGAGTCGAACCCCGCAAGAACCCCGCCTACTCCCTTTTTCAATCGCCTGGGAGGCAAGCCAGGGAAGAGAAAGGGTGTGGCAGTGCAGCGTGAGCCAGATCCGAGTGACCCTGCAACCTGCAACTTGAGGCTGGAAGAGTATGGGAGCAAGGGTTCAGTGTTGTGTCTTCGGGCCATGAAAACAAAAAATCACCAAGATATCCAGCGCATTCGGACACGAGGGTCGAACCCCGTCTTCCTTCTCGCATCTGTGAATCGGGGAACAATTAGCGACGGAAAGCGTGTGCCGTACACCATATCCGAGTTATTCACATTCCTGAAAGCATGGATAGATGAGTGACTTTTCAGCGTTGGGTGCGAGAAAAAATTGTCCACTCTCGCCGTTGGATTTGGATGCGGGAATCGAACCCCGTACTCCTTCTGAGATCTACAAAGGGAGTAAAGGAGTGACAGAAGGTGTGCGCCGTACACAACATCCGATTGAACCACCATGTTCTAAACTTGAATAAATGTGTGAGTTTTCACGTCACGGTCGCGTCCCAGGAAGAAACAAAGATTCGCGAACCAGGGACGGATTCGGACACAACCCCGTTCGTACTCCCTTCTTCAACCGCTGGGAAGCAAGTGAAGGGAAGGGGTGTGCCAGTGCAGCACGAGCCAGATCCGAGTGTCCCTGTAAGCTGGAATTAGTATGGGAGCAAGGCTTCAGTGTTGAGTCCCGTGCAAAACAAATCGCGACGTATTCGGACACGGGGACTCGAACCCCGTTCTCCTTTCTGCAAGGCTTGATGCGTCCATGGAGCTCATGGGAAAGGGTTTACCGTACACCATATCCGAGTTGCTTATCTTCTTGCCATCCTGAAGAGACGGGCAATTTTTTTTTTCAGCGTTGGCAAAACGTCTAGGGTCCAAGTTCCCGAGAAATTTGGCAAGCTGAGTATTTGTTTCTGAGCTTGTTCCATTGGTCCTCGGAAATGCCAGCATGCCCGTATTCAAGAAAGGAGGTTGAACATCATGATCTTGAAGCGTTGCACTTGCGGGAAGAGACAGGCGGCCGGCCAGCCTCCAGCCAACCGGTTCAATATTTGCTTTTTGGGCCTGTTCAGTGGTCTTCAAGAGTGACAACAAGCCCGCGCGCGACAGAAAAGACCTTGTTTCAATCCATGACGCAGCGCTGCACCGGCGCCAGTCATAGCGTGAAGAGAAACGCGGGCCGGAGGATGCCGAACCCGTGGGAATCGACTCACGTGTAGTCTACACCGCTTTCCTCCGCTTCTTCCTCCCGCCACGGCGGTGCTCTCAGCGCGATGATGACGTTTACGATACATGCTGGCAGTCCTCTACGGCTTCTCCCTCGCCTACCTCGTCGCTCCTGACACGGCGAAATACGCCGGCAAGGTGCTTCTGGCCGCACCGTTTGCGTTTCGCGGCCTGAATGGGATCCGCCACTTGTCGTGGGATATGGGGAAATGTGCGTCGCGTTTTTGTTGTGATTTCCTTTTCTGTCGCTTCCTTTTTGCAGTGCGGCTTCGTTCGCTGCGTCCCGCTTCCCGCCTTACCCTTCTTGGCCGCGACCGTCCGCGCAGCCTCCGCCTTGTTTGCTTCTTCGTCTCCACCTTCCCGTCTTTCCTCCCTTTTCCTCTCCCATCCTTCCTTCCCCCCATCAAATCCAACGCTAACGACCCTCCGCGCACGTGTACGAAACCGGCTACGCCGTCCTCGCGGGAACGGCCGTCTCCACCATCGCATTGGTGTTTTTGTAGTTTGATAGAAGAAATCAACGTCCTTCTGCGCTTCTCGTCGGGCTCTCCGGTCTACTGAGGTTTTAACTTCGCACGTTGGATTTGCTGCGCGATGCGGCGGGCGGCGGATTCCAACTGCAACAAGAAAGTACGTTTGTCCCCCTTCGCACACACCGCCGTCCGTCTCTTTACTCGCAAGTCTCACTGACGATGAACCCTGCGGCGGCGCGCGCAGAAACTCCATCGACAATTTGTTCGTCGGCTCAACGCAAATCTTATTCGTCTGTAACGCAAATCTTATTCGCCTGTCCCTGTTTCCCTGGTCTTGATCTCTCGCTCAAACACAACACCGCCGTCGAAATCCTTTGCAGAGCTTCTGGGGATGCCTTTCTGAATACGACTGTGAACGTCTGATCTAATGAGGTGTCATCTTGCCGTGCTGGATGTGCCGCTCGCATCGCTGGCTCTGTTCGGTACATCCGGGCGGTCACAATAACTCACAAATCCTTCGCGCACACCGCGCTCCAGCTTCTGGGAGATCGTCTGACCGTCGTTTAATGAGGTGCTTCGTGCGCTGAATGTACTGCGTATATTACTGGACTAGCGATGATTCCGCAACCCTACGGTGATTTAGTACTTGCGCCAGAAGCCTGGTCCTGCGACCCATCGTGACACAAATATGAGGGAAGAAGCCGCCAGCAACGAGCATCCTGTACAGGCACATCAGCACCAACAATTTCCCAACAAGATCCTTACCCGCAAAATATCCCACCGCGATGTATCCTAGGCTGGTGTCCACGAAGAGCCCACTTATGGGCGGCCCGCATAGGGTACTGATACCTGCGAAGAAGTTCACCACCCCAATGCGATGTCCGATGTCTTCCATGCCGCCCATTTGGCCAACTACTGAGCCTATCAAGGCAATCCAAGCACCCGAGAAAGCCCTGTGTGATATCCCGCTTAGTACCAAGGATAAGCTCAAGCGCGGGTTTTCGACACTCACCCGTATAAAATGGAAGTGATAGTAATAGTCGGGATTGTTCGACAAAAAGGCCAGGCGATGGTAGCAGCACTGGTGAGTGCCGTCACTATGGTCATGATGTTCATCGGCCCTGTGTTTATGAAGGAAGGGACATCAAATGAACTCATTTGTTCTCACCATACCGATCGCCCAAAAGTCCAGATATGACCCGACTAACGCCGGCGCTGAAATTCATGATTGCGACGAGGTAAAACGCGAAGCCGGGGGAGATTCCGAAAGCGAGAGCACTGCTGCTGATGTAGGTTGACACTGAGGTGAGGGATATCAAGCATCTTAAATTGAGACACCTTTTGGTTGAAACCTACTGGTAAATAATCCCAAGAACGAGATGAGTGTGGCGACACAGAAAATCGAAAAGGCGGCGTTTTGAAACACTTGTAAACCGAGTAGGCCGCTGGGTGCTTTGACTGGGGGGAGTCGTCGGGCGATCAACTAGATAGCGTCGTCGGAAATGGTTTAACATCAGCAAACTCGTACTAGATTTGAAATGGCTAGGAAAAAGAGAAGGATAAAACCGAGAGTGCGTACGGCCCAGGGGAATCTGTAAGATTGTCAGTACCCCGCGGATCCAGGGTAGAGGTCAGGAGACTCACCCGACTCGATCGATGAGTTGGCGAAGAATTATAGGCTGGATCGTGGCACCTATGGCACCTCCGCAAGAGGTCACTCCCAACGCAAATCCGCGTCTCTTCTGGAACCAATGTGTCACGACAATTATCATCGTGCAAAACATCAACCCCGAACCAATCTAAAAAACAATTCGCGATCAGCTCTTCGTGGGACCAGTAAACGAACTCCGATGCAGAAACCCTGGCAAAGCAGAAATTGCCAATATTCGGTGCATTGCGGCAGTAGAAAGGTTGCAAGGAGGATCAAAGCGCCACCGGCGGCGAAGGGGACACGATAGTATCCAATGTCAAAGAGTCGGCCAACAAACAACGCAAAGATAAAAATCATGCCGTGCTGAGAAGCTGGTGTTCAACCAAAAGCTACATCCGCCCTGGGAAATTGCGAACCTGTACCGAACCAATCCAGGAACTTCGGGAGATTTGAGTGTCGTCCTCAAAGGGCGGTTGAACCACTTACATCTGCGATGGCGTAGAGTTGTGTAGAAGTTTCTGCTGATAATAGGCTTGGAAGACCTGTGAATCAAACAGTGAGATACACTGCGTGTGATGTGGATTATTGAGCTTACACCCCACGAGTTCACGTAGCCAAACCTAGCATCACAGTGAAAATGGGGGACTATAAATAGACGAAAACCTACGTCGCAAAGAAACCCGCTACTGTCTGAGATTCGGTCAATTAAACACACATAGAAACAGTTTTCTTTGCCCACCGAAGCCAGGACTATCCAGCCCTTGCCACCCTCGGGGAAGACCTCCTCGCCTTGAACTTGTTCTATCTTTTCGGTGCTCGCGCTATCCATCGAGTTGGCGACTTTGTCCATGTAGAGTGGAGCTACTTCATTCATCGTTGGACGCAGGCAAATTGAAAGGAACGGGCGGCACTTCAATATCTCCCTCTTTATAAATTATGTGTGTCTGTTGAAGCTTTTTAGGCTCCGCTGATAGGGTCATATGTTGCCGCGGCACCACATCAAAGAAATTGTAGCTTAACAGCTTTACCTTGGGTC